GACTCTTCTTATATTCATCTTTTCTTTCCCATCTTCCCCATCTTCTAGAGAGGGACATCATTTAGAAATACAATTAAAATCATAAGATGGATGCTAAAAAAAACAGAAGAATAAAAGAAAATATTACATTAGTACAAGACTAGGACTAGCATAGAAAAACCTTGCATAATCAAAATCACAACGAAGTATTCATTGATTCTGATCGAGATTTGGAAAATATGAAACTAGTTAATTAGCGTGTGTCTGTTTCCAATTTCATTCTTCATCTAATATTTTGTATTTTTCGAGTTAGATGAAGTAAGTGGGACTTCAAGATTGAATGAGATTTTGATATATTTAGAATCCTAACCAAATCCAAATATAGGGTTTTATGTTTGTTTCATAAAAGTGAAAACTATGCTAAAAAGAATTGTTTTCAGTGTACGTGGGATGTATCAATCAAGTTTGTGATGAACATTAAGGCCTAAGCCTCGTTACCAAATTAAAGATTCTGTTAACCTTAACAAAAAATTACGAAAAATAGAGTTGAAGATTCTATGAAAAGGAGAATATTCTGTTACTTTCGGAAGGCAAAAACTATAATTAAGCCTAAGATCAATCAACAAGACACCTTCCTTGACTTTTATTATGTTTTCGAGTGTGTACAAGACCATGATAAGGATCGGTGTACCAACGTATTTGCATTCCCATTTGCAACTCTTATGATTATTTTCTATTTACATTAAATACACTGATCCAATCATATTAATTACAATTTGACATTTTCCTTCTGATTTGAACTGTTACTGTTCAAAATAATTTAAACGCCTTGTAAAATTTAACGGTCATCATTGTTTGATTTTGTGCTTTTTCGTAGGGACTTTTCATGCTGATACTTATCGAAAGAGCTGGCAAGAGACATGTGGATGCAAAGGTTTTTGTGGAAGTAAAGACTTTTGAGAATTTTTGTCTTCCACTACTTCTAATAACTAACCGATGTTTGTAAACTATAACATAGGACATAGACATTACATTTCTAATTGTTATTGTTTTTTTTTTAATTTTGCGCCTAATGGCATAATAGTTTTGGCTTTAGGGTGAAGGGAGTATACTTGTTGGAGTCCGAATTCAAATATCATAATCTACGAACACAGCACAAACCATTAAGTTCAGTTTAGGTGTTTCATCCGTGGTGGATTTAGGGTCTGTA